GGGGGGCAGGGGCGGGACGCAGCCGCCTCACATGCTCCCGCCACCATACCATGGGAATCGCCCAGCAGCATGCATGTCTGTCGTGTGTGTGTGGTATAGGTGTATGCGTGTGTTGTTGCTGCTGCCGCTGCTGCTGCTGGCTGCTGGCTGGTGGTGGTGTTCATGCTGCTGCCGCCGTCGCCTACCTGGGCGGGTGCGTGACGCGGCCAGGGACAGAGGGGGGCATTGAGCAGCAATCTCGTGCATTTCTCTATGATGTGACCCCGCGGCGGCCGCTGTCCACCGCGAGGTCCACCTTCGCTCACACACGCAGCGCGCGCACAAACAGTCTCTGCTCGTGACTGGACTCGCGAAACTATTCCATCGTTCTCCAAAGCATCCCAAGCCCAAGCCCCTACGAGCGGCACAGAATGCGAAGGACGTTTTGCCATTTAGACGGCTTCCACGCCGCCACGCCTCGGAGGCGAGTACAAGTAGTGCGTGGCCACACTGTGGACCGCGGCTATGGACACCACCACCCGTTTTCCTTGACGCACTTCCCGTGCCGACAGTGACACTGACACTAACCGGGTTGGTGGTGGTAGCACCCACCACCACTCGCTCCTGGGAATTTTGAAGTCCGATTCTTTTTACAGAAAAAATGGAAACTTTTCCAGACAAAACGAACTATCCCAAACAATAATAAATTATTTTTTTGAGTTCTTGATAAAATTCCCGAGAAGATGATTTTTTGGAGGTATTAAAATCCTTACTCGCTCCGCTCCGCCGCGATGGTCCTTCATATATGCAGTGGCGTGCAGGAGGAGCCAAGGGCGCGTGTCTCTCGCGTGATCCTGGTCGGCCGCCCCGCGCTGCACCTCACTCCAGCCCAGCGATACCAACAAGGCGTCGGAAAATAAACCTCGGTTCTCGGCCACCTCCTGCAGGATCCTCATGTTTCGTTTGAATAGGTCGAAGGTCGTGGCCGGGGCCCGCCCCTCTATGGAACCGACTGCCGTGACCAGAGTGTGGTCACGACGTGTTCTGGGCGCGTGATAACATCTATCGTTCACTCAAGCATAATTCGACGGAGATCTTCCGCATGTTTGTCTCGTCGCAAACCGGCCTGCGACAGTTATGCTCGGACCATCCTTTTATCGGAGCTGTCTGCCAGCATGCTCCGTTGTCCTGCGGCCTGCTGCGGGTGACTCGCCCCGGATCTGGAAATTCCCCCCATGGCGGGCCGATTCCAGTCCTACGCCCCCTCCCCTCCTCCTTCTTCCCGTACTCCTGCATTCCAGGCAGCAGAGCTCGCGCCTCCTCCAGGTTCCCTTCCATTGCCAACTCCCGACCCGATAACCATCAAAAACATTTGGGACAATTAAGCGCCGTTTTGCAAAGCCGTGACGCGCGGGGAAAGATAAGAACGTTGGGAGTTGGCGAGTGAGTCACTTTCCCCCGAAGTACTAGTTGTTTGTTGCCGTCGGGAAATTGGCGCGCATCAAAGGCGCGTCTCCGCAGCACGCCACGCGACGCCACGCCTGCCAGCGAATCACTTACGGGCTGTTATTATTTTCGAGTCACAATGAATCACAATGGGGAATGCTCATTTCTCATTCATGAACATCGATGCGAAAAAATAGCAGGGGGGGGGGGGGCTTAATTTGCGAAAGAGGTCGAACCGGAAGCAAGGCGAGAGGGAGGGACGAGGGGAACGGGGAGTGGAGCGGCGCCTTATTGCTAAAAATCTCTCTCTGCCCCGCCGTCCTGATTAGCTGAGCCACCGTCCTGAGGAGACGCCCGTCCTTCTAGAGTAATTCATGGTCATGCGCGAGTGAGATGCAGGGGGGTGGGGGTGGGGAGAGCCGGGGTCATTGAATCCCCAGCACGATCCCCGAACACACTGAACGGGCAGCCGGTGTGTGGGAGAGCGAGAGCAGCGACAGCCACCGCAGCGAGGCATACGACGGCCCTATGGCTGCGCTGCGCTGCACGGGCCAACGGGCCGTGTGACACACCGCTATGAGCAAAGCGGGGAACAAATGCGCGCGCTCACACACATACACATACATCGGTCCAACTGCGGAGAGTTTTAATTAACCATGCCTCTCTGATTTGTGTGCGACAGAAGTACGGGGCGCTGCTGGTGCTGCTGGTGGTGTCGGCGGGCGCCCAGGTGGACGTTCAGTTCCCCTTCGGCCACGTCAACGTCAACAAGGGCCCCGGGGGCACGACGGTCGACGTGCAGCACCCGGCGGGCCGCGTCAACGTCAACAAGACCCCCTCGGGCACGGCGGTCGACGTGGTCCACCCGGCGGGCACCGTCAAAGTCGACAAGGGCGGCGCCGGCGGCACCGTCGTGGACGTGCAGCACCCCGCGGGCAAGGTCCACGTCGGCGGCGAGAGCGGCAGGGCGGGGTCGTCCTCGTCCGGCACCTCCTCGTCGTCTAACGGCGCGCCGGACTTCGTCGCCATCCTCAGGTCCATCCTGAATAACCTGGGGGCCCCCGCGGCCAACGCCCAGCAGCGGTCCGCCGTCGCGAGCGCCTCTAGCACCAGCACCGGCGGCTCGAAGGACGTCAACGTCAACTACCCCGGCGGCCTGGTCAACGTGCGGAAGGCGGCCGCGGACGGCCGCAAGCAGGTGGACGTCAAGTACCCGGGCGGCTCCGTCAACGTGGGCAACAACGGCAACAACGTGGACGTGGCCTTCCCCGGCGGCTACGTCAAGCTGGACCCCAAGGAGCCCGGCCAGCGTAGGACTGGCGTCGTGGTCTTCCCCTTCGGCTCCGTGCGCTTCGGTTAACCTGGGCGTCAAGCTTAGAATCTTGCGAGAACTGTGTCTGTGATCTCAACGATGGATTATTGAGTGGGGCCGGAGTGAATATCAATGAGGCGTTTCTTGAGACGATGGTACAAACACTAAGTTCCGTCACAACCACGTCCGTCAGGTAGAATCGGTCCTGCACTCTACTACTGTTGTCGTCTCCTCTGCGGTGGGCGGAGGTGGGTCGTTAAGTCTGTCAGCCGGAATCATCATTTGGGCGACAATCGGCGAAACGAAATGGGCGTTAAAGCAAATCGCACCGCCCAGCTTTACGAGTGTGAGTAGCATGCGCCTAGCGTAGCGTGAAGGTTGGCGCCTGGTCTTTCCCCAACGCCCTGCAGTCAAACTTATTATTTCACCCACATTATTTTAAGATTAATCAATGTGATTTATTGTATTATTACACGTGGATTGGGGTGTTACTCATTTCATTTCACTTTAAATCAAATTTGCATTGTCGCTCATTCGTGCCATGCCACCTTGACTTGTTCATTTATACTCCAATGCAATAATGTGACTTGTGTCTTATGTACTAAACGGACCCGCGAGGCCACTCCGATAATATGAAAAACTTTCTCTCAACGAATGACTCGCAGAATTTCAGAGAGGTTCTCGACCTTGACCGATGGATCTACTCAGTCCCCACATGATGGGATAATTAGTCGGGAGGAGAGAGATCGGAGATATTTCCATTTCGTTTTTTCTCGTTTATTTTTGGTACAGACAAAAATATGTCAACATACTGTTAAACATGATTGAATGAAAGTATACCTACTTATAGGTATTAATAAAGAATGTACCTAGTAGTATAGATAGTAATA